GGGCCCCTTTCTGCCGGGGCAGCTCCTGCAGCTCTGGGCACTGGGTACCTGCTCTCTCTCAGGGCTGTTTCTTGACTCCACCTCCACTTGCAGGGAAATGGTCTCACCAATGCTCTTCCTCTTGGACAAGCGATCTTCATCTGAGGAGGAAGAGGAAGGGCAGAAAAGCCAATGGCAGGGGCAGCAGGGTGGGCACAGGCAGCTCCAGGGGCACACAGCCTCACGTCCCACCCCAGGGCAGCTGGCCATCTAACCCAAACTCCCAGAGGGCTTCATGGTTCCTTCTCTCCAGGCAGCTGGCAACCCCAGCAAGGTCCCAGTTAACCACTTTGTGCCTCAGTTTCCCCAGGGCTGCACCTCTACCAGACAGCACAGAGCCAACAGGCCCACGTGTTGGCCAAGAACTCCACGTCCCCAGAGGTGGGGACAGCAGGGGAGCAGTGTCCTCCCCTCCCAGGCCTCTGGGCTGCCCAGGGAGGGTGGGTACCTGTCAGCTGGGGCACGTAGGGTGTGCTGAGGCGCTCCGAGTTGTACCCACTGCCACCCAGCACCTCACTGATCTTGCTCTGCCAGAAGAAGACCTCTGGGCCCAGGCGGTCCAGGCTCTTGCTCAGCCTGCAGAGATGGAGAGAAACCAGTGGAGGTGGCAGCACTCCTCCTGCTGGAGCTGGGTCAGCAATGGAATGTTCTCATGGTGCTGGGTACATCACAGGAACAGTGTGCCCAGAAGCCAAGGTGGCCACCAGCAGCCTGGCTTGGGTCAGCACTGGTGTGGCCAGCAGGAGCAGGGCAGGGATCATCCCCCTGCACTCAGCACTGGGGAGGCTGCACCTCAAATCCTGGGGTCAGTTTTGGGCCCCTCCCTCCCAGAAGGAGCTTGAGGGGCTGGAGTGTGGCCAGAGAAGGGCAACGGAGCTGCTGGGGAAGGGTCTAGAGCCCAAGTGTGGGGAGGAGCAGCTGAGGGAGCTGGGGGTGCTGAGCCCGGAGCAAAGGAGGCTCAGGGGAGACCTTCTGGCTCTGCACGGCTCCTGACAGGAGCCTGGAGCCAGGGGGGGGTCGGGCTCTGCTCCCAAGGGACACGCCACAGGACGAGAGGAAAGGGCCTCAAGTTGCCCCAGGGGAGGTTTCAGTTGTCCCTGAGGAACAATTTCTTGCCCTGGAGGGTTGCCCAGGGCTGTGCCAGGCTGCCCAGGGCCGTGGTGGAGTCCCCACCCCTGGAGGGGCTCCCAAGCCGTGGAGATGTGGGGTGAGGGACACAGGGCAGTGGGGACCTGGCAGGGCTGGGGGATGGTTGGACTTGATCTCAAAGGTCTCTTCCAACCCAAACAATTCTGTGACTCTGTAATTCCCTGATCTCATGGTAGCCAGTCCCTCAGAAGCAGGCAGTGAGGAAGAAAGCATTTCCCAGGCTCTTACTTGGGTTTCTCCAGAAACACATCTTCAGGAAGCAGGTAAGGAGCCTCCTTCTCTCGCATCTGGATGACCTGTAGAAGACAAGCAAGGAGCTGAGCTCCAACCCCAGGGGTGGCCAGGAGAGCTGCAGGAAAGCCTCCAGCCCTGTGCCCCCAGCCCCCCTGGCACCTCGTGGATGTGCTGGCAGAAGGTGGGCACGGTGATGAGCTGGCTGATGAGGTTCAGGTAGGCTGCCCCCAGAGCCAGCAGGGCACAGCGGTTGTACCCCGTCAGGTTGTCCTCGTTGATCTGGGCAATCTCCTGCAAGAGAGACACAGCCCCATGGCATGGAGGCCCCCAACGTGGTCTGCATCCTGCTCCTCACATCCCCTGACCTCCAAACATCTCAGATTTTGGAGTTTGGGCTTTGCAGGGCTTCAGAGGAGGCAACAGGGTCTTTCCCCAGCACCTTGGGCTGACCCCACTACGGTGGGAGAAGCTCAGAGCAGGTGAGGCACTTGCACTCTCCATCCTTAGAGACCTCAGCTCCAGAACAACCCCCTCCCAGTGGCTCCTTCCCATCTGGGGAAGGAATTGTTGACCCTGAGGGTGTTGAGCCCCTGGTTGCCCAGAGAGGTGGTCGCTGCCCCATCCCTGGCACCATCCCAGGGGAGGTTGGATGGAGCTCTGAGCACCCTGCTCTAGCTGCAGATGTCCCTGCTCAGAGCAGGTTGACCTTGAAAGGTCCCTTCAACCCAAATCATTCTTGATCCCATCCCACTCCACGGCCCTGAGCAGCAGGAGCCCACCCAGCTCCTCCCCAGCTACCTGCACGGCCAGCACCAGGCGGATGAGGTCCACCACCACCTCCTCGTTAGCCAGTTCGATGCTGATGAGCATCAGCAAGCTGTAGAGAGCTTCATAGTGGGCCTGAACGTTGCTCTCCTCCTTGCATATCAGGTAGATGTGGCGGTAGAGCTGCTGCCCATGCTGTGGGGACACAGAGGGACGTGGTCACCTCCTGAGCCTCCTCTGCGAGCAGCAGCACCACCCTCAACGCAGAGCCAGAAGAGCAGCAAGGCCCAGCAGAGGAGGTTCCATCCATGTGAGATGGAGCAGAGCTCCTCAGGGCACCAAGCAAGCAAAGAAAGCCCCAGGGAGAAGGATCTGTGACTATCAGGTGGTGTTTCACCATTTGATGGTGTTTCATCTAAGGGGTCAGCTGGAGGGAGTTGGGCTGGGGCAGCCTGGAGAGGAGAAGGCTCCAGGGAGACCTTCTGGGGGCTGCCAGGACTTCAAGGGAGCCTCTAAGAAAGCTGGGGAGGGACTTTTTACAAGGGTTTGGAGGGATAGGACCAGGGGGAATGGCTTCAGACTGGAAGAGGGGAGATTTAGATTAGAAATGAGGAAGAAGTTCTTCACTCTGAGGGTGGTGAGACCCTGGCTCAAGTTGCCCAGGGAAGCTGTGGATGCTCCACCCCTGGAGGGGCTCAAGACCATGGGATGGGGCTTTGAGCAACCTGGTCTGGTGGGAGGGGTCCGGATGGGTCTTTGAGCAACCTGGTCTAGTGGGAGGTGTCCATGCCCATGGCAGGGGGGGTGGAACTGGATGATCTCAAGAGTCCCTTCCAACTCAAACCATCCTATGATTGTATGATACTGGACTTTGGTGGGGAAGAGGCCCCTGCAGGTCCAAGAGCAGAGCCCAGGGCAGGCAAATGGGACCTGTAGCCTCAAGCCAAGCAAAGGGATGATGCTGCTGCAGAAGAATACAGCCCTGGGACATGTTGCTTGAGAGCAAGGGTGGGACAGAGCAGGACACATGTTGGTGCAAGGGAAACTCAACTCTGGGATGACTTTTGGATTGGGATCTACAACCCTTGGTGTGCACAAGGTAACAAACAGTTGCAGATGTCCCAGCCCAGTGCAGGAGGGTTGGACTAGATGACCTTTGAAGGTCCCTTCCCACCCATGATTCCATGATTTAGAAGCCCACAAAGATGCAGCCTTGAGGTGCTGATGGAGACTGAACCCCACTGGCTTTTCCCAGGGCCATCCCCAGGGTCAGAGGCACCAGGGGGCTCCAAGGCTTGCTGTGACTTGGCACAACAGAGGTCCAGCCCTCACAGAGGTCCTCCCAAAGCCAGCTTGACCCAGCCCCTGACTCTACCTTCTTCATGAAGACGGTGTCTTGGCGTGAGCACTTGTCCACCTTCAGCTTCAGGACTGAGATGTCACTGATGGTGCTGCAAGGAAAGGCCAAGGAGAAGGGAGAAGTCCAACCCCACCACTCCCACGCTGCTCCAGAGCTCCTGGCCCTCTGGGGCCAAGCTAAAGGGGGCTTTCAAAACCCACCCAAGCCATCCAGCTACTCAAGAGGACTCAGCCAAATCACCACAGGGTTTCAAGGCTGTGGTGGTCAGGAGCACCAAGGCCACCTGACAAAGGAGCACCCAAGCAAAGGGGGTTGGCAGGACCACAGCCAAACCCGTGGAGATGTTTCCACCTTGGATGACAGTTGCCTTCCTCCAAGGTAGGGCAGAATGGGCAACATGAGTGCCCAGCAGGACCATCCATGGGGACATAACACAGGCAGTGAGCCCACTTGAGGGTGTTGCTGCTCCTGCACGTCCTCCTGGGACCACTGGCCAACCACAGGTCCACCCAGAGCATGGTCTTGGGTTCAGAGAGACCCTCCATCCACCTAGCTCTTAGCAGACCACTGATCTGCAGCATGAAACCACCCCAGAACAGGTCCAAGATGTCAAAACAACCCTCCCAAGAGCAGGGTCTGCAGGTCCTTAGCCTGTTGAGGAGCCCCTGGGCCATACCTGATGGTGGAGAACTTCTGGCGGTTCCCGTGGCGGTCGATGAAGCTGATGAGGATCTCCAGGACAAAGAGCCTGATCTCAGCATCCTCCAGGAGGGCTGAGGAGAGCAGCCTGTCCAGGAAGGCGCTGGGAAGGGCTGTGAGCATGTTGCTGCACTGGAAGCCCACAGAGACCTGCCAGCACGGAGGGAAAAGGGACACAAGGTGACAACGGTGGCACTTGAGGAAGGGGTTAAAGGACACCAAGAAGGGATGGAAGCAGAGAAAGCTAAGGAGAGGTTGAGTTCTTCCTCCACCACCCCAAGAGAGAGGGTTCTGGAGCTCAGCTCCACCCTGGCAAGAGCTGGGAGGTGCAGAGTGTTGGGGTGGTGGCACGTCCATACCTGGAGAAGGGACTTGAGGAGCATGATCTGCGTCAGCCGGTTGCGGTTCTCCCTGGCAGAGAGAGAGAGGGGACACCTGGTGAAGTCCAAGTGACAACAAAACCACCCTCCCCACACACCCAGAGCCTCAGAAAGGGCAGGAGGTTTCCTCAGAGCCACCACCACCACCACCACCAGACACAGTCTCCAGCAAAGGAGCTCCAGGTTTATCAGCTGGGCAGCAGGACGTGAGCGTGTCCCTGGGCTGGGCACTGGGGAGGCTGCCCCTCAAATCCTGGGGTCAGGTTTGGGTCCCTCACCCCCAGAAGGAGCTTGAGGGGCTGGAGTGTGGGCAGAGAAGGGCAACGGAGCTGCTGGGGAAGGGTCTAGAGGCCAAGTGTGGGGAGGAGCAGCTGTCCAAGCATTATTCTAGGATTCTAAGCCATTCTCTTGAGTATTATCTTTAGCTCCTGGCCAGGTTTGGATGTGGCCCCAGGACCCAGCAGGCACCTACAGACATGCAGAGTCCAGCTGCAGCACCACTGCCTGGGAACCCCTTTTCCTCTTGATGCTCTGGTGTCTCCATGCCCCTTGTCACTTGTCACCAAGGATCACAGGTTGCTCAGCTTCCCTGGGGCTCCAGTGCAAGCTCTCCCTGCTCAGCCTCTCCAGCAGTGTGCCCACACCCCACTCTGTCCCCACAGACCACCCCAAGGTGGGTGTCAGGAGCTCCCCAGCACTTGAAGCTCCATGTTCAAAGCCTGAAGGGTGGTTGGAGTGAGTGGGGGTTGGGCTCTTCTCTCAAGGAACCAGAGATAGGATGAGGGGCAATGGGCTGAAGTTGCCCCAGGGGAGGTTTGGGTTGGATTTTAGGCAGAATTTCTCTCCTGGCAGAGTGGTGAGGCCTTGGCCCAGGCTGCCCAGGGAGGTGCTGGAGTCCCCAGCCATGGAGGGGTTCAACAAACATCTGGACGTGGCTCTTGAGGGACATGGTTTAGTGGCCATGGGGGTGTTGGGTTGATGGTTGGACTTGATGAACTCAGAGGTCTTCTCCAACCTCCCTGATTCTGTGCTTCACTTAGGGCAGGGCAGGGAGAGCAATGCAGGGGAAGAAGAAGGAGGGGAGAAGAGATCTGCTCTCACCCTGCTCTGCCAGGCTCGATGGACTGCTGCAAGGAGGGCAGTGGCACCTTGTTCATGATGAAGACCATCACCTCAGACTGCTGGTAGGTGGGCAGGGTGCTGGCGAAGGACCCTGTGGGGACAAGAGTGAGCTGGCAGCCCAGGAGGTGGAGCCCAGCACCCCCAGCAGCACCCATTGCCCCAGGGTGCCCCCCTGCCCTGCTCCAAGCTGGCTAGGAGGGGACAATGCTGGGGTCCAGCACCTGTAGGCAGCTTCAGATCCAATGGGATTCAAGACCCATCAAAAGCCCTCCCAGGTAGAGTGCCAGACAGCACTAGAGTGGCCAGCAAGAATGGGGCAGGGATTGTCTCCCTGGACTCAGCACTGGGGAGGCTGCCCCTCAAATCCTGGGGTCATTTTGGGGGCCCTCCCTACCAGAAGGACCTTGAGGAG